TTCAATCACATGAACATCAAAGTCAAATGTGCTTAGTTTAAAACAATTCTTTGTTAGCCCATTTCCTATTTTAACTTGAATCCTCGTGTAAATACTTTTAATGATATAACTCATCATTTCCCTTATTTGTATGAGCTTGCAACATTATTTCCTTATTTTAACATTGAGGTTAGATGATTGGACATTTACTTAGAGCTCTAATATTTTTAAAATAAGTTATTAATTAATATATTAAAAGAATGTCCAAATAAAAAAAAGGAACTAATTTAAAATATGAACTAACTTAGAAATGACTAAAGGAATAATAAATATTCTTTTGTTAAACAATCATCTCAATCAAAATACAATTCTCCGTTGACTTTTAATTTGGTATTTATAATATTAAGGTTAAATGATAGAAAATAAAATTATAAAATAAGAGACAGAGAATAATTACGAGAGAAATTGGCTTTATTTACCAATTAGATAAATTGATTTTTTTTCCCCTTTTTTCAACTTCTTATTTATTTTTTAAAACGAAAAGATTATTTCCAAAATAAAAACTAAAAAGTGGAACCCCGTTAGAGAGACACACGTGGGAGATGACGGAGACGCACATGTTAAGTCGAAAAAACGAGTGGTTAATAACCGCCGCAGCCCCCGCTTTTCGCGGGCTAAACATTTCCTTTTGGCGCCAAAACCATAGGGTTTCAACAAAAAGCATAGTTTCTAATAAATAATTTATTAAAATAAATAGGAAAATTTTTAATTTCCCGCCAAATTCTCCGGGCAGCTTGGGCAGCGTCAAAGGGTAGGTCAAAACCGATGATTGAAGGATGTGTCTGTTTCTTAAGATTTTTAATTATTTTTATTTATTTAAAAAAAAAAAGAATATTTTTCTTATTTGTCTTTGGATTCCCTTAAATGCCCATGTGTGTATGTCTACCAAACCAAACACTTTCTCTCTCTTACATTGGATTCCTTTTTTAAATTAAAAAAAATAAAAAAAAAAGATGGATATTAAATTAGTGACAATTAATTCACACCCAAATCCCAACTTCCTTACAATAATATCTCTTTTTCATAAATTAAATACTCACTTATAATTCACCTCCCTCCTCTCTATTATATTTATTCTTGCCTATTTTTTCATTTATATATTTCTTTTTATTTAAATTAATAATTTTATACCTTCTTTAAAAATAAGAAATAAAAAACTCAATATTTTTATATTATTACGGTCTATATTATCCACTTCGAGCATAAGCTCTGGCTTTGTTTTGGGCTTCCCAAAAAGCCTCATATCAATAGAGGAGATATATTAATTTACTTATAAAGCCTCTTTTTTACTACACTTTCGAGGCTCACAATCTTTGTTCGATATTTAAGGATTCTATTGTCATTGCTCTGATACCATGTTAAGAATCACGACTCTCTACAATTGTATGATATTGTCCACTTTGAACATAAGCTCTCATGGCTTTGCTTTGGGCTTCATACCAATGGAGATGTATTCAACGTTACTCTCAATAATCCTCAACAGACTTAAAAATAGTGATTTTATTGTTTGTTAATTTAACGAGAATGGAATAATTCAAATCTTTAAAATTTTAATCAATGGTATATAATTGAGCTAGTCGGACTATATCATATATTTATTGACGAACTTTTGAATTCTAATTCTATTTAAGATGTTTTACCTTTTTCTTACAAGAAACTAAAATATTGAGCTAAGATTATTCAAATGTTCTAAAATAAGTACTCAACTCTAGAATTTAACTTTATATATTCTTCTTCGTTTTGTAATCAGTTTTTAGTAAAATTTTAAGAACTAGATCAAATATTTGCTGCGATTTGATTTAGGGTTTAGTTGTTTCGCTTTTTCGAAAGATTCAACTTTACACGTAAGAAGAGTACTTACTCCCTCGATTTGGCTCGCTCCTTTCCCGCTCTGTTCATCTCATTATTATAATAAACTAAACAAATTGAATTTACACGGTTTATCGTTCACTTTTAAACTTAGAAATAGGCAAAATCATAACCTATAATATATTAATTTACGTGACATCAACTCAATCTTATCCAACGCTCTTCAGTCGACCTCATTTTACACATATGTTTGTATTCTCTCTCTAAAAGTAGAGAGAGAAAAAGGGGAAAAGTTAGTGAGGTACGTCTAAATGGAATATAATCCAACCCCATGCGAACGGGTTGAAATTTGAAATGAGATATGATATAGCCTTCGTGGCGTCTCCTATCACAAAATTTGCATTTGCAGTCTTTCTTTAGTCCTATTTAATTCCCCAATTAATCAATATTTTATTTCTTTTATAGATTCATCTATATCGGCTAATTTAGAGAATGATTCTGGGTTTATAATCAAGGAATACTATCTCCATTGGTATGAAGTCTTTTGGGGAGTCCAAAGCAAAGCCATGGCTGAAAGTGTTCACCAACAAATTTATTATAACGGGTCAAACCGAACAATATCTACTAGAAGTGGGCAGTGGGCTTGAGATGTTACAGTTTGTGTTGCTTTGTGACAAAGCAGACAATACCTACTAGCAGTGAACTTAAAATATTACTGTATGTATTGATTTATGTATGAAAATAGTTTTCACTACTCTTAGAATCATTAGGTGTCAAGGTTTAAAATGTTAATGAAAAACATGCAAATATGAATGCATGGGACAAATGACACTCAAAATAGAAAATAGTTCTCTAAGTTACGATGCCGTTGCAGAAATGGCTCTATCAGACATGCATTTAGTAATAACACAGACAGTCAAAATTTGATTTCACCACTCCAAATTAGTAAGCATTCATAACAAATGTATTGACCAAAATCTTTCAAAATTATGTCGTGTCAGAAAAAGGCAACAACCTAATTAACAACAATGTTACTCACAAACCATGGTCTCTATGTCCTCTTTCGTCATCTTTGAGTCGGTCACTCAAACAATTTAAATAGAGTTTATAACTTATTCCAACTTAAATTTTATTGGGTTCTTAATTTTCATAATAATTTAAAAGTATAATAGGGTTTGAGTGGATTGTAACCTTATTTTTTAGTTAGTCGAGTTGATCTGATTAAAAATATGTCAACCCACGAACTTGTCAGAATTTGCCTGTATTTGCAAAATTCAACTAATCTAACCCATTTTTTATGGTTTAGGTTGGAAAGTCCAAATCGATCACCTCTAATATTGATTTTCTTTTAGGTCGACTCTTTAACTCTGTATCACTTACATGATGTTCATTACTTAAGCTAACCACAGGTATACCTATTACATGGTCAAACTAACCACGTAACACATGATGCATCAAACCAACACGAATAATTTAAAAAAAAAAAAAAAAACATATTATTATGAAAATTGTTTCCCTTTAATTTATTATTAAGTTTATTATCATGCAATTGAAAATTATACCAACATCGTTATCAAAAGTTAAGAAAACATAATAAATTAGGCAAATTGTGCTTAGTCGTTAATAAATAATGTAAATTTATAAACTTCATTATTCATATGGTATTTTATTTATTTATAATAAATAAAATAAAAAATAGAAAATAAAATTATATATATATATAATTGGAGTGGGCCAACATAAACCTATCTTAAGCCGCAATCGATAGCCGACACTGATCGTACTGAATAATCAGGGCCGCAAAACAAATTTTTTAAAAATTTTATTAAATGAATTTTAAAATAATAATAATAATAATAATAACAGAACTATTTGGAAATCTGTTTAGTTTAAGTACATTTTAAATATATTATTATGGTTGGTATAGAATTATCAAACTTACAAGTTAATTTTAATTTATAGTACAAAATAACTATTTTAAATATAAATTTTTTATTCCTTTATAATATTAGTTCAGGAAAAAGACAAAAAGATATTATATTTGGTTACATAATTATTGTATCCTAAGTTTAAGTTTAATTAATGTAGTTTAGATAAAACTAAATTGAGTTTAAAAAATATTAAACCCATAAAGAATAGAGCAAGTTTGAATTTGTTTCCTATTAGGAAGCACATGCAAATTTCAAAATAAATAGAAATAAATACAAAATAATAATAATAATAATAATAAAGTTGAAGTTCCTCTTTCTGATCCAAAGGAATCCAACCCACACTCAAAAACTCGTGCTTATCCAATCCTTCCAAACTTCAAAGCTTATCATTTCACGTTCTGACCAAAACTTTATGGATTATCATTCTTTTCACATATCACCTTATCTATTTTGGCTGGTTACCTATCGTCATTTCAACACCTTTATACATGATACTTTGTTCTCTCCAATCGATGTGGGATCTCACAATCTCATGTTCCAACATCTTTATAAAAATGTTTCATTCTCTCCAACCGACGTGTGATCTCATAATTAGTGTCTTTGCTGGACATCACTTGATGTCTAGCTCTAATACTATTTATAACAGCTCAAGTCTATCATTACCAAATATTGTCTACTTTTGTTTGTTACGCATCACCATCAGTTTCATAGTTTTTAAAATGCGTCTGTTAGAGAAAGATTTTCACTCTTAGTAAAAAATGTTGGATCTCACATTTAGAGAATGAGAGAACTAAACTTTGAAGGTTATAAGAAGAATTGCATGTCGAATGTCACTAAATTATACTACTTCTAGTATAACATCTAACTACTTTTTTCGGTTTAAATGGTATATTGGCAAGTTAAGTTATGATTATAAGACTCGTAATTGAACGTTATCCATTTGAATGAGGGCGAAACTTATATCGATTTTGAGAAGCATAGGTTTATTAAAAAATATGTTTAAGAATTTTGAGGTGATTCAAACAAAGCCTCCAACCCCACATTGGATTCTAATCTATTCTCACCCAATATGCGCCTGTCTTTTTATAAATCAAAGCGCTACATACCATAGGCCTCCAAATGAGGTGGGTCACGTCAAAGCCCTCCAAACAACAATGAGAACAAAAACAATTACATTTTCCCATTCATATTCCTCCAAATTTTCTCATCTGGGTCTGTTTGTTTCCCGGGAAAATATTCAAGAATTCACCAAATTTTGAACATGGAGATAAACTAGAATACTCATTTAGATAACAAATATTTATATATACTTTGTACATCATCATCACCTTACTCCTAAGAACTACCAGCAACATAAATATAGTAATTCCAAAAAAAAAAGCATAGTTAGAGTTTGAAACCCCTAAATTCTCAGCTACTTCTAAACTAGGAGTTTGAAGACGGATTCTAAATCCGAAGGTTGGAAGAACTCCCTCACGTGATTTTGATTCGAGCTTAATTTTCGAGATCTCCGCTTTCTCGGCGCCGGCGGACAGCTCAGTTTCTCCGGTATTCTAGCTTCTTTCGCTGTCGGCGTCGTCGAACACGACCTCTCGCCGTCGTCATCGCCGTCTTTCACCTTCGGTTTAGTGTTTATCTGCTTCAACGACGACCTCGCCGGAAAGCCAGCGATTACCCATTTTTTGGTCTCTGCTTCAAATCCGCCGTCGATTTGGGACTTGTTTGAAAACCCCATTTGAAATCCAAACATAAAACCCACAAAAGGGGAAATCAAAAGGGAAATGGATGAAAAGATTTAAAAAAGAAAAACAGAGGAATCGAAGAATAAGAAGAAGAAACAGAGGAAAGGAAATGGGAAAAAGGACTGAAAGTGGGACTTTGAAATAGAAATGGAGAAGAAAAGAGGATTTTGTGGAAAAATAAATAAGAAAGTGAAGGCGGCAGGACAAACAGGGGGGGTTTTTTAATTATTTTTCTTATCAATTAATTCTTTATTTTTTGGAAAGGAGGCTGCCCGCGTTTTTTTAACGGGCAGGTCTGCTGAGACGCGAGGTTTTGCCGCCAACAATTGGGGGCTTTCGTATCCAACGGCTCTTTCTCCCGCCTAAATATTTTTGGGGGTATTGTGTTACGGTTTTACCCCTTATCGCTTTTCTGGTCTCAGGGAGTGGGATCTCTCAGCTTTGTCAGGGCTTTTACCAGTCGGATAAAAACCCGGATTTTGTTCCAAATACAGCCCATTCTAAAATGGGCCTGGGCCCAATTTCTCCCTTAATGGCCTATAATTTTGACTAGCCCATGATTCGTCCCTGCGTTTAGGAAAAATGATATAATAATAATAATAATAATCTCTCTATTTGCATCAAATTTTTTTTATAAATAATTAAATTTGGTAACTTATTTTTCTAAAATTATATACATATACTGTACTTCTGACGTGGACAATTATATCGAGATCTATAAATTAGATATACTGTGAATTTTAATAAATAATTACAAGGATTAACTATTTGGTATGCCTTTAAAATGCGTAGAGAGGGCTAGATGTGGAATTTAAAAATAATAATTGTGTGTTAATTATTTAAATTATTTTTTAGAAAAATAACAAAAATGCTTCTAGATGAAATATCCCATTAGTTTTCTATTATACATTTTTCTTTGCCAAAAGGCATTTTTAAAAATAGAATAAATATTTCAACTTTTTTTAAGTGTGGGGTCCACGTGGGCGGTTGGATTGGGACTATGCTAGGACAGAAGAGGACCATGTGAAAGCCCCCATCCTCAAATCTGACGTGATATGACATCATCACTGATGTAATCCACGTGGAGGAAAACTTGTTTCCCACGTCACCAGATTAAAATAAATATCTTACAACTAATGGTTGTTATTTACGGTGGGCCCACCAAACAGTAAGGGCCTGACTGCAAACTGGAAAATGGAGGAGGACCTCGCCGAAAATATTTTGTATTACAATAATAGTACCATTCACCCATATCTCCACGTGATTTGCTTTAGATGCAGTACCCTTTAGTGCTTCTATTTTATTTATTTTTATCTAAATTATCTGTGTTCTTAGAAATATATTTTTATAATTTATGTCATCATTTGTAGTTAATATACCATATACCATTATCAAATAAATGTTTTTAAATAAATTCAATCAAAATATAAATTAAATCCATTTTAATAATATTGAAATAATAATAATTTGAGGAGTTATTATACATAATAATAATAATAATAATAATAATAATAATGGAGAATATTAGGTCGGTGATTCATTCTAATTTATTGATTTTCTCAATACAAGTCGCATATCGCAAACTGTACGTGGGCTCATTCACGGAGGGCCCAATAATGAAAAATAAATGGGCCGGGTCGACTAATATTTTGGGCCTCCTAATCTCATTTACATATAGGCACGTATTGATATCATTCACGTTGGAAAAAAAAAATGCAAATTTACTAAAATATCCATAAATATTTGGATGACATGGAAATTTATATTAAAAAAATTTAATTTGTCAATGGCAATTTAAACTAATTTGTTTATTTTAACTCCAATTATCTTTTTCAAATAAAAATATACATTTTTAATTCATTAAATTATACCAAACTTATTAGAATGGTAACTGATATGTACCCTCTAAAAATCAATCGTTGGACTAAAAAAAAACGTCTTACAAGAGCATAACATTATTTTCTCCAACAATATAGTAAATAAAACGCTAATTATAATTAAAAAAAATGATGATTCGATGGTCGGACTCGGTGTAGAATTAAAATAATAATAATAATAATAAGAAGAAGAAGAAGAAGGTGGGGTTATTGGAACAGTGTTTTGGACATTATTTGAAAGGGAGGGTGTGGTTGTCACCTTTAGGTTGTCTGTTTTGGGTTTGCAATATTGAAAATTCTGTTTGTCCCTCTTTTTTCTCTCATCTTCCATACCTTTTGCCTTAGGTTTTTGGAGGCCCCCCACTCCTTTCTCTTCTCCTCTCCTCTCCTTGTTTTAGGGTTTCATTATCAATTACCCCTTCTCCCTTCTTCAACAATCAACAAACAAAGGTAAACCCTAATTCAATAATATAATTAAAACTCCCATTGGGTCCAAATATTTAATATTTAAAACCCCATTTGATAAATATTTATATTATTTTATGTACAAGGCAAAAAATGGCTTCTTCATCCAGCTACTCAAATTCACCATGTGCAGCATGCAAGTTCCTGCGAAGAAAATGCTTAGCGGACTGCATATTTGCGCCCTACTTTCCACCCGAAGAGCCAACCAAATTTGCCAATGTTCACAAGATCTTTGGAGCCAGCAATGTGAGCAAGCTCCTCCATGAGGTCCACCCTCATCAGCGCGAGGACGCCGTCAATTCTCTCGCCTATGAGGCCGAGGCTCGTATGAAAGACCCCGTCTATGGCTGCGTTGGAGCCATCTCTATCCTCCAGCGACAAGTCATTCGCCTCCAGAAGGAGCTTGACGCTACGAATGCTGATTTGGTTCGATATGCCAGCGGGGGCGCTCGCCCGTATGGACGGAGGGCAGCAGCGCAGTCTGGTGTGTGTTTTATTTCCCCCTTGAATAGTAATGATCGTCATGATCCATATTGCCATGATAAAGAGGAAGAAAATTGAACCTTCTCTTCTTTGAGAGGTCTCCAATTGTTCATCCGATGTTCTTCTTCTTCTTCTAAGCTTTGTTGGGTACTTTTTTTTTTCCCTCATCAATCATAAAGGTGGTGTTTTTGGTGTATTACTTTTTATTTTTTTCCTAATTAAATTATATATATATAGATTATATACCAGGAATGAAAACTCATTATTTTTGGATTCTGGTGAGATCTCACCTCGATTGGATAGCAAACATATTTTAACACGTTAAGAGAAAACTCGAAAGTAAAAATTCAAAAAGAATAATATTTGTTAGCAGTAGTCCTAAATTCTTGCAAATAGTATTAGAGCCAGACACCGAGCGATGTACTAGTGAGGAGGCTTAGCCCCAAAGGAAATAATACCCGGTAGTGTGCAAACGAGAAGACTGGGCCCTGAAAGGGGTGGACACCAAGTGTTGGGATAAGGAGGATGCTGCCCCACCAGGAAGAGTAAAAATTTGAAAAGAAAAGCTTAAAGAAAACAATATCTATTATAGATGAACTTGGACGGTTACGGTTCTAATTCTATTTTGGTCTATAGGATGTTTAAATGTTTAAGAAGTGATAATTTTATCCAACTTATAACTTATAGCCTAAATGTATTCATATTTGAATCGGTAGTTAGTGTGAACACAAGAAATTTGTCCCCCCAAATTTGCACAACCTTTTGATGCTAATGTTGTTTTGTTCATATAATATTAAATCCAATTGTTGCCTTCTTTTATTTAGTTTTATTTTTTTAAGTGCTTTCGGTGCGTCTTATTTTAAGACTTTTTTTTTTTGCGCGTCGTTAATGTTATATTGTATATTTCCTCTACTTTCAAATAAATAAGTAATCTTAAGATTCTCTATGTTTTTCTTATAAAAAGTATTAAAGAACGATATTTTAAGAGTAGTTTTGGAACGTTTATGAGAAAAGCAAACGATAATAGTGCAACTCGTGAATGAACAGGGACAGAAACTGTAATCTACTCAATACCAGCCCGACATGAAACAAGGACTAAATCTAAAAAGTTAAAAACGAGACAAGATCCGAGGTGAAAGGAAAGAATGTGCTGTCTTTTTTGGGAAATGGATGGAAAAGGGGAGTCGGGTAAGGGGCATAATCTAAACCCTAATTATATATATAAGGATTGGTGATTGTAGCAAGTGGGTGTGGGGCTCCCACGCCCACCGTCCAAAAAGTCCTCTCTGCCGACCCACGCCGCTGCACGACGCCTCCAAACATACCCACCTCCCTCGCCCACCTTTTAAAACTCACCCTCCTCTTCACATTCTTTGGCCCATTACAATATTTCTTTGGCCCACACACCTTTGGCCCATTACAACTGTATTGGGCCCAAACACTAAGCGGCCCAGTTTACGACTCAAATAACATAGAATTACAAAGAAATAAAATAAGAGCACAAATGCTCATTTTCCTACGTATTCCTACATATTCCAAGTCTCTGGACAAAAACAAACATACTCAGTATAGTTTGAATACTTTATGATCATAATTAGCCACTATAGAAACAAGCCTTAAAATACACGCCGCATTTGAAGTATCTTGAAACTTTGTTGCATAAATTAGTATAAATTAGTGTGAAATTGACTGCACCTTGAGTTCAACTTTAATAGATCTTGGCTATATCGTGTGGTAATTAGAACAACATGATTAAAGTACTTTTCTATGATGGAGATGCCTTAGTTCATAGTTCTCTGGCATTCAAATGATCACTTGGACGTTGACCCTCCTAGTGTGCCGGCGACTGCTGTGATTCTGCTTGTGAGCTCTCTGGCATTCAAATGGTCACTTGGACGTTGACCCTCCTGGTGTGCCGACGACTGTTGTGATTCTGCTTGTGAGCTCTCTGGCATTCAAATGGTCACTTGGACGTCAACCATCCTGGTGTGTCGCTGCAATGATTCCAGTGCCGACGACTGCTTCAACTTACCAAATCACATATCTCTGTGTCACCCTCTTTGGCAGAGAGGAGCCTGAACTCTCCGCTTGTCGAGCCTTGCAGATTTCCATAATCCATGGATAACGTATCGGCACGTTAAGCTATTCGGAACGAAACCGACTTTCAGCATTCGATCTTGCAGCTGCATCAACTCCGTTTCATTACCAAAATCGCGATGAAATTTAAGCAAGGCATTGAAACTTTCAGTGTCAAAGAACTCAAAATCTTTAGCAAATGATACCAATAATGATTCTGCTTTATAAGCATTCCCTTCTTTGCAGTATCCATTTATCAATACTCTGCATATTTGATGATCCGGAAGCACTCCAGATTCAACCATTTCTACCATTAAATCTTCACCATCTACACTTCTATTGATTCCACACAAACAGGATATAAGAGGCTTGTATGAATCAATGCTAAGTTTTAAATTTCTCCTTATCATTTCAGATTTCAAAAGCAGTGCCTCAGAAACATTATGAACTCTACAGAAACATTCAATCAGCTTGTTGTAGATACAAGCATTGGGTTGGAAACCATCTTTAATGATTCTTTCAAGAACACTCTTAGCTGCAAATGGACGATCTTCCTGACACAACGAGACGATGAGATAATCATATATGTCGAATGTAACAATCGTTCCAAGTCTCCGAAGTTCGACAACCAAATTCAAAGCTGAGATCAAGCTACCTCCTCTTCCATATCCTTCCACCATAATCCTACAAGTGAAACTGTCAGGGCAAATGCCAATTCGAATCATATCGTGTAGCAATGATCTTGCCTCTTGCAGCCTTCCATCCTTGCAATATGCATTAATTAGCGTATTATACAATACGACATCGGGATCCAATTCTCGATCGATCATTCGATGAAATAGCTGATGGGCCTCTCTTACCCTTCCAAACTTACAAAGACCATTCATCAAGGAAGTATACGAAACAAGATCAGGCATCACACCCCTTCTAAACATTATCCTATATAAATAGAATGCATCATCTAATCTTCCTCTTCGGCAATAGCTATCGATCAAAGTATTGTACGTCACGACGTCAGGATCGAAACCCTCTTCTTCCATCTTTTCTAAGAACTCGTTAACCTTATTTACATCCCCAACTCTACACAAAACATAAGTCAAGATATTAAAAGTATATGCATTTGAATGAACTCCAATCCTTCCCATTTCTTCATAGAGCTCCCAACATTGAGCATCACACTTCATCTTCGCCAGTCCATTTAGAATACGATTACAAGCAATCACACTTGGAACAAAACCCATCTTCACCATCTTCTTAAAGCTCTCATAACTTTCCTGAATCATATGAACTTTCACATACGCCTTAATAAGCATTTCAAAGATAACAGGATTCCAATTACAGTGCTCAGTGCACAATACCAGATTATGAAAAACATCCTCACTACCTGAGGCATTATCCTTAGACAACTCAATCAATTCAGACAAGAATTTCATCGCCATGGAAAATTGTCGGGACCATGCCAATATATGGATGATAAGACAATAGTTTTGAGAATTAAGTGTAATCCCCAAATCAAATTTAACCCAATTGAAAAAAGCAAGAACAGAGACGAAATTAGATTGGCACCTCAATATAATCTTGGAGATTTCACGATGACCCAAGTGGGGAAGAAGCTCCTTAATGTCGGATTGAAGAAGGGATAAGTGCGTGTTGCTGGTTTTGAGGTGCGAGGAGACGAGTTCGACGATGTTGAAGGGGTTTTGGTTTTGTGGGAGAAAATGGTAAAGAGGGTTGACGATTAATTTAGTTTCGGACCGAGGAACTGATTGTAAAAATGTTGAGGATGAAGCAGAAGAGAAATTTGATTTGGGAATTGAAGCGAGGAAGACGAAGGGCTTCGAGAGTTTGGTGAGATTCGAAGCGGGAATTCGATGCATTGGTGTTGGATGAAAGGAAATCGCGGGGAAGAGCGCGATTAGAAATACAAAAACTCGGCACAGAGGGAGAATTTCTATTCCGTTGAAAACTATGGTATATCCGCCATACCTCTTCTTCTCTCGTCGGAGCGCCGCCGCAAATATCGGGCAAAACACCGATACGGAACATAAAATACTTCCCACGGTTGTTTAAGGTTAGGTCATTTGCTCTACTTTCCTTCAATTGAAATGGACAAACACAAACTAACCCAAATCCAATTAATAAAATATTTAATTTTAAAAATAAAACAGTAATTATTTAAATTTCACTTCTCAAATAAAAATACTATCTACAATTATTTTATTCAATAAGATAATATGATTTAATTTATTTTTAGTTTCGTTACACATCATGCCATAATACTATTTTTTTTTATGAAATATTTAATTTATACATATAATTTGTCATATTCTATTAATTTTCATTCTAAATTGTTTAAATTTCATCCAATTACACTACTCCTAAGTGTTCAATTTAAGCCCTGAAATATTTATTTATTTATTTATTAAATCTATAAATGCGTGTAAAATAAAATTATAGATTTCTTATTGAAATTTATGAGTGAATTAGCCTAAATTAAAGTGTGAAATTATGTGATAATTTTTGGTTAAAATAATCTTAACTCATACCATTAATTAAATTAAAAAATATATATATATAAATAGAAGCCCACAAGGATTGCATGGGTTGGTTGGTGACAAACGCAAGCAATGAGAGTCCATGTCCAAATCATTGCTCAAATGACTTATAAACATTTCAATCATTGCGCTCCCACTTTACCTTCCCATCCAAAATTGCATCCATTACCGAAATACGTCGATTGGGTTATGTTCATATTAATAACGTATTTATCAAATTTAAAAATATATGATTGTAATAATTTTTGTTGATCATGAACCTTGTGAAGTATGATAGCGAAACCGAAAGGGGCCAGTAGTCAGTAAAGTTAGTGGGGAAAATTAGGTTTGAGTAGGTCAATACAATGAGCCTTGGAAGAGCTGTCTGTACTACCAAATGTATTACAACAAAAAAGTAAATTCAAAACTCAAATAAATAAATAAATAACAATAGGGCTCTTTCTTTGACTGTGACAAATGATTCTTATAGCAAGGAATATATTAAAGGCAAGAAAGCTATAGTTTTTGTATTTTTTTTATTTTTTTCCTTCTCAATATAACTATACAATAAATTCACCCACTAATTTCACTCGAAATTCTAAATTTACGTTTAATAGATATTGTCACAAGTCGGACGATTTACCTATAAATTTGATAAATATTTTATATTTAATGAGTAATTAGAAATTAATTTAAAAGGATAAAAGAGCAATTAAAAATGAAGGGTGTAAATTACCAAAAAGCCAGTGTAGTTCAGCATATTTACAGAAATACCACGATTTCAAAACATGCAACCGCGTTTAAAGCATAGAGAAAAGGAGAAAACTTGGGGATAAGTGTTTTGTTTTTTGAGTATTTTAAGAATCACTTACGAAATTCTAAATCCAAAAAGGCAGCAAAAGCTTAGCATCATAATCCATTCCCATCCACAAAGGGGCATGGCATTCACTTTAATTAGTCAAAAAGCTCAGGGGTATTTTCGTAATCAACTTTCTATATAACCACAAGACTTGAATTAAACACACACCCATATCTCAAATCAAGATGGCTGCTCCATCTTCACCAAACATCCTTCCTTCTCTCCAAGTTTTCTCACTCAAATCCTCTAATTCCTCTACCTTATTTCTTGTCAAATTCAAATCTTTCCTTCACACTATCATCTTCTCTCATTTGTGTCGGTTGGCTCGGGCAATCTCCCGAGCCAAGTCGACGGTGGTTCGGGTTTTGAAGAGAAATTATCGCTACACGAACAGAAACAAGAACAAGGTCTTTTTCGGGTCGTTTAGGCTTCATTATAATTGGTGTTCTTCCCATGTGATGCCTGTGCCTGACCCTGTGTGGGAAGGTAATTTTTACTACGACGCTGCCACTGCAGATGGCTCGCAGCTGTCGGGGTATTTGCAATGGTTGGAGGAGAGGAAATTAGAGAGCGAGACGGGGGCGGGGGCGACGATGATGGCAACGGAGATGAATGAGATCGACAAATTGGCGGAGATGTTCATTGCAAGCTGCCATGAGAAATTTAGGCTGGAGAAACAGGAATCAGCTAGAAGATTTCAAGAGATGATGGCAAGAAGCATGTGAAGAAAATTTGATGGGAAAATATTGGGAAAAGGTGTGTTTGATGGTGTTGGGGTGGCAATGTTTTTTTTTTTTTGGTTGAAATTCTTCGTCTTAATGTATATTATTTTGGGTGGAATTAAAATTTTCATCATTATATCCAAAATTATATCCAAAATTATATCCAAAATTAAGCTTAATTAATTAGTTTACTCTGATTTATATATATATATATATATATATATATATATAT